AAAAGATCAAGAGGCGATCATTAAAACCAAAGAACAGGAACTCCAGAAACTCCAAGCCAAATCATCTGAAACTGAAGCAATTCTCAAATCCACACAAATGCAGTTGGAGCAATTCCAGCAACAGGCAGCCGCTTCTGACGAGGAAGGGGCCAAGAACTTGGCCAAACTGCAGGAGGAGATCAGCCAGCTAAAGTCCCAGGCAGGGAAAACTGAATTGGACTTGAAAACCAGTCAATCTGAGGCGGAAATCAAGGGCAAACAGCTGGAGACGGCGAATGAAGCGATTGAGGAAAAAGCCCAGAAGCTGGCTTATTTCCAAGAACAGCTTATCGAATTGAAATCGGAGGTGAATCAAACTAAATCAGCTCTAAGCTCAAGCCAGACAGATGTAGAGTCCAGGACTAAGCAACTTGAGGCAGCCAATGCAGCTCTCGAGAAGGTCAATAAGGTAGAGTAATGTCATTAATTAATTCAAACAAATATTAAATACATATTTTTTTCTTCAGGAATACGCTGAATCCCGAGCGGAAGCCTCACATCTGGAGGATCAGATCAAGGAGATCACCGAAAAGCTACATGCCGAGCTCCTGGCAGAGAGATCCTCGGCAAGCGACCTGCACACCAAGCTATCCAAATTCTCTGAGGAATTGGCTACCGGCAAGAAGGAGCTGAACAGCAAGGCGGATGTCTGGAGTCAAGAGATGTTGCAGAAGGAGAAGGAACTCTTGGAGCTCCGCCAGCAACTTCAATACAGTGAAGATTCCCAAACAAAGCTCAAGGCAGAGGCCGAAAGAAAAGAAGCATCGTTGAAGGAAACCATTAAAACACTTCAGGATCAAGTCACCAAAGCTAAGGAGGAGAATCAAGAGCTAAACAATGGTTCCCAAGAGACAATAAGGGATCTGCAGGAGCGGCTGGAAATCACCAATGCTGAGATCCAGCACAAGGAGAAAATGGCTGCTGAAGATGCTCAAAAGATAGCCGACCTTAAAACCCTCGTTGAAGCCATCCAGGTGGCCAACGCCAACATATCAGCCACCAATGCGGAGCTCTCCACTGTTCTAGAGGTCCTTCAAGCAGAGAAAAGCGAAACCAATCACATATTTGAGCTTTTCGAAATGGAGGCTGACATGAACGCCGAGCGTTTGATTGAAAAACTCACTGCTATGAAGAATGAGCTGAAGGATACTCATACCAAACTGGATGAGGGGCAGAAAAAGTACCAGGAGCTAGAGAAATGTTTAGAGCAAGTGACCCAGAGTGAGCAGAGCCTGCAGCAGGAGTCGTTAAACTCAAAGGAGCAACTCAAAGAACTCCAACAGTCATTAGGAGAACTTCAGGACACACTCAAACAAAAAGATGAACTTTTCCTGAACATGGAGGGTAAACTAAGAGATGCCAGTTCCGAATTTGAAGGCATGTTAAGCTCCTCCAAGGAAATCCAAGAGAAACTACACGAAGCTGTAAAGAAGGAGAACCATTTACAAGAACAGAGTGCCAAATTGAGCCAGCAACTCCAGCAGCTTCAGGAAACCGAAGCTAAGCATCTTGAGTTACTGAAGAAGAAGGATGAACTTGTACAGAATTTAGAGGAGAGACTAAAAGAAAGCAATACTCATTTGGAAATACACAGCTCCACATCGAAGGAAACTCAAGAAAAGCTAGAAGACGCACAAAAGCGGGAGAAGGCTCTGCAGGAAGAAGCTGCTAAATTATCGGAGCAACTGCAGCAAGTACAGCAGGCAAATAGCGAAGTCAACGATTCACTGGTGAAAGTAGAGGGACTGGTTAAGGACTTCGAACAGAAACTGGAGGCAGCCCGGCAGCAATTGGAAGCCCAGCAGGCCGCCAACAAGGAGCTGCAGGAGCAGCTCAAGAAAGCTTTGGAAAACGAGGGAAACCTGCAAGGCGAGTCCCTGGCAGCTTCGGAGCATCTATGTCAGCTGCAGCAGGCTAATGGCGAACTCCAGGAAATGTTGACCAGAAAAGAAGAGACACTGAAAAGCTTAGAGGAAAAACTTGAAGAAAGTAATTCCCAACTCAAAACTCAAATGGGAAGCCATAACGAACTACAGGATAAGCTGGAAAAGGCACAGCAAAAGGAGAGGAATCTTCAAGAGGAAACATCCAAATTATTGGAGCAGCTGGAACAACTGAAGCTAGCCAACGAGGAACTTCAGAAATCGCTGAAGCAGAAGCAAATTCTTTTGGAAAAGGGCAATGAGTTCGATACCCAGCTGGCGGAGTACCAGAAAGTCATCGATGAAATGGATGAAACGGCCTCCACCAAGTCCAAGCTGCTGGAACAGCTTCAAAACAGAGTGGTGGAGCTCGAGGCGGCTCTCCATCAAGCCAACGAAGCCCAAAAGACTGCCAATTTGGAAACCAAGGAGCTAAGGCGTCAACTGGAATCGCTCGAGTTGGAGAAGTCAAGAGAGATTCTAACCCTGAGGACCCAGATGAATGGAGCAGGTAGCACCCCGTCAGGCAAGGGCGATGAACTGGAGGTAATACTAAGGGGTACCTAACTATCCTTTTTTCCTATATTTATTGTTTTTTCTTTAATTATAGACACTAGATACTGAGACCAGCCTGGCGAAGATCAACTTCCTCAACTCAATCATTGCAGACATGCAGCAAAAGAATGATGCCCTCAAGGCCAAAGTCCAGACCCTAGAGACCTTGCCCATGGACTTTACCAAGTGAGCTAGTTTTTAATTTTAAATTTGAGCTTATTTATTTATTAAATTTACTAATTTCCTCAGACCTCATGCCTTTGATGCCCTGACCAAGCGCAAACCAGCTCCCAGACTTTTCTGTGACATTTGCGATGAGTTCGATAAGCACGAGACGGAGGACTGTCCCATCCAGGGTGGTGATGATCGGGACTACTCGCCTCCACCCACCGCTGAGGCTAATAACAATGAGAAGAAGGAACGCAAGTTGCCCGCACCCAGAAAATACTGCGAGTCCTGCGAGGGTAAGTTGATGGTTAGGAACCTATTCTTTAAGATGAGCTAATCACATTTTCCTTTTCAGTTTTTGGCCACGATACAAGCGAATGTGCAGATGATGAGACCTATTAGCTTTAGAACAATTTTTTTAAATTTATTGTACTTTGTTGATTAGAACTTTTACCTCGAGCGCTGAGCTTCACTCACACTATTTCGAAAAACATTCTATTATTTTAAATTGTGATTTTGCGTTTATCCTCGCATGTGTACATCGTGGATAATAGTCTATTTCAAATTGTTTTTATTTATTTAATTCGATATAATGCCAACGTTTCGTAAATTATTGTAAAAAAAGTGTAAAAATAAAATTCATAAAGTGAAGTAAGACGCTTTATTCGGGGTTTTTACATGAGACTAAAATGCTACAATGAAAATATTAAATTAATCTCCACCCTCCTTCTTTTCCTTGATAGCGTCCTGAAAAAAATAATATAAATATATTAGACAAGGAAATTCATTAAATTACTTAATTACAAATTACAAATTAGTGGATTGGGCAGCAGATTAAGGCAGCGATGTTTTTCTTGGACTGGAAGTAGGCTTCTCTTGTATGCCTTTGGTTTTAAACCCTTGCATCTAAGGGATTCATTAATGCCCCCCATCCACAATCCATGTCAAATTCTTATATCTTACTTTGAATCGCTCTTCGAAAAGTGATAATTCGGCCAGCAGATCGGTAATGGCGTTCATGAATGCTTCCTGGGGCGAGTAGTCCGCCGTAGTCTGAATCCGGATAACAAACTTATGCTCCAGGGGATGGGGAACCTTGTAACCGGCAAACAAAACATTGGGATCCTTCAACAGTTGGCTGCATGAGCAACATAGTGATTTATATCCATAATTATAGCGATTAATTAACCAGCTTACTTGCGGATCATGTTGCCCAGAGTATGATCCTCTTTGTTTATCGTAAATATCGCCGCATTTGTTACTTTTGTGTCCAATTCCTTTATGATTCTGCCACCGCGCCAAAACAAAACAAATTCGGTTAAATGAGTTCATTTTGTGGAACAAATATGGTTTACTCACTTCTTCTCGCCTTCATACAGCAGGAATGATTCGAAGGTCGGTGGCGCATTCATAATTAATGGCTTATATTAGTTTTTATTTTGAGAAAATTGCAATTGTTTATAAAAATCAGCCGCACGCTCAGAAAATTTGCTGCGTTAGTGTTGGAAAACGTGTAAATATGCTAGCTAGCTATTTTATGGCTGGAAACAAGCATTTTAATAAACGCAGACTAAGCAAATATTTCGTGTATAATTATTTAAAATAAATAAAAAATAAAATAAATCCCTATTTAAGTAAGCGTTTTTAAATGCCAACCATGCAAATTCCGTCTGGCACCAGAAGTTTTTATTTACATTAAAATAAAAAGGAAAGCAAACTGACTTTAGGATCCGAAGTTTGTATAGTATTGCAGTTTGCATTTTGATCAATGTGTAGATTAAAATTATCATAAAATATACAATAACTAAGCTTACAATGAATCAATTTCAATTCAGAATGTTGTTTTATGTTAGTTTTTATGAGATTTATAAATCTGCATACTTTATTTAAAATTTAATGAAATATTACATTTTTTGTAAATTTTTTTAAAATTTTAACGATGTAACCCCTTATAAAATTTTTTAATTCTGAAAAATTTTAATTTTTGCAATACATAGCTAGTTCTACTCGTCTGTTGATCCTGATCAAGAATATATATGATTTATAGGGTCGAAAATGACTCTTTCTTTGTTTATTAAGCTTCTGACCAAAATCTCACATCTGCAATGGTATAAATGAATTAGTTGACATATTTGGCAATTAATAATGATTTCTTTGTTTTTATAAAAGACTTTAAAATAATTAAATTATATATTCTGCTGTTGAATTCATTTGAAAGAATCTAGCTATTTTTAAGATGCAATGTCTGGTATATTTGAAGCGGTGAATCTTAGTATTTTTGAGATTCTTCTGGTATTTTTGCACCGCCCCGGTGACGGTCACACTGTTTCGAATTATTTGCAATTTTCGTCCGCGTCCAAATCGCGCCAAACAATTGGCATTCCTACACTTCCACGAAATTCAGACCTTTGAACAACAGTTAGACACCACTTTGATCCGACCACCACTGAGATGAGCGAGTTAAATGCGAGTGTTGCCGGCCCAGAGGGCGAGGATGGAAATCCGCACGAGCAATCGACCATCACAATGGTGGATGTGCTCGAGCAGGAGAAGGAATTGGAGGACGAGTACGCCGCGGTGCTGGGCGCCTCCGACGAGAAGTCCTGCACCTATGCAAAGGGACCCATCGCCCGGCAGGCCCTGTACTCCTGCCTCACTTGCTGCCCGGAGGCACGCACTGACCTTACCAAAGCCGCCGGCTGTTGCTTGGCCTGTTCCTACCGCTGCCACGAGAACCACGAACTGGTGGAGCTTTATACTAAGCGGAACTTCCGCTGCGACTGTCCCACAAGCAAGCTGGGCAAGTGCTCCCTGAATCCGCAACTGCAAGGCGCTCAGGATGCCAATAAGGGAAATCTGTACAACCAGAATTTCCAAGGGCTCTACTGCCGCTGCAAGCGTCCTTATCCTGATCCCGAACGCACCGTCGAAGAGGTGATGCTGCAGTGCGCCATCTGCGAGGACTGGTACCATCTGCCGCACATGAAGGCTCCGGGCGCCAGCGAGAAGTGGCTGGATGCCTGCAGTGAAATGATCTGCGATGGCTGTATGGATGCTGTACCATTCCTTAAGGACTATACCGGATTGGCCTTGCAGCCCGTTGAGGGTGATGAGGAAAAGAAGCCCAAGGAGGACTTAAAGCCAAAGCAGGATGAAGGTCAACTAAAGTCGGAGCTAGATCGTAGCATCTGCGATATAATGAACGTTTCGGAGAAGAAAGGCGATGCAGCAGCGGCAGAGGTTGGCGAACCCAGCCAGAAGCGTGCCAAGCTGGATAATTGCAGTCGTCCCACGCCTCTCAAGGAGCATCAGGGTGAGTTTTATGGCAAATTATTAACTAAACTTAAGTACATGCAGGAAACAACCATAATTATTAAGCAAAATCAATACATGAAGAGCAAATCAAAGTTCTTCTTGCCATCCCCCAAGTAGAGGAATCCATGCTTATGGGAATCCATCTTGTGGAAGAAGGTCATGCCCATCCAAAGGCAAGACTTGATCACCACCAGTCGTTCGTTCCGTTGCAAATTCAAGGCAAAGGCCTGACCTAGTGGAATAACGCTATCAATGGTGTCCAGGAAGTCGATAGCATAGTTATAGTCGCTCCTCTTGGCCAAATTCACTTTGAGATCGTTACGGGGCAGACGGTATAGTTGATAATAAGACTGGTTATCCATTTGCAGACTGTTTAGGCCCCTGAACATCGGATTGGGTATCACGCGGCTATCGGTCATCTTGTAGAACGCGCCACGGGGGCAAATGGCACACTCTTCGGTGATAATAAAGACAATGGCCGCCAGGCGCTCCTCCTCCTTGAGCTTGACCACTTCAGGGCGACTAATGCCTGCCACCTGATTTCCTACAATATCGAAAGTGGGATCCTAAAAGCCATTGTCTTTCATTTAGTTCCTGTATATAGTAAATCCTTGTAAAGCTATCTTACCAACTTAACGTAGGTTTGAATGCTGGGATCTCCTATAAATGGCTCCCTTGCCAATATAGTTGCCTGAAAGATATTAGGGCTTTGCACAAAAGGCAATAGCTGCCACTGAAACTGATCCAGACTGTAAAAGTATTTGCGATCCTTTAGGCAATCGTTCGTGAAACCAAATGCAATATAGTAATCGTTTTGGTGGCCGTGATGCGGCCCCACAAATACATGCCCGAAAAGCGGTTGTCATTTTGCAAGGCGATCAGTGAGTTCTCAATCAGGATACGCTGCTCCGGCGACAGTTTCATGCCGCAGTACATCAGGCAGTCGAGGCCCTCGCTAAAGTACTCCAGATTCATGATGCAGTCTCTTTTTATAATTTAAATGTGTTGTGTTTGAGGGTTTGCTTATACCTAGGAATATTTTTGAATGGAAAATCGGAGCTACATATGTAGTTATACCTCACAAGAAAGTAAGCTTGTTTTGAGAGGCGGAAAATTCTATACCCTTGCAGAAAAAATGTATCATAACTAGGACAAAATTGCATCACTTTCAATTTGGAAAGCGGACGTGGCTAGATCGACTCAGCTGTTGATACTGATCAAGAATATATATGATTTATAGGGTCGGAAATGCTTTCTTCACTGCATTTTATGCTTCTGACTGAAATTATAATACCCAGCAAGGGTATAAAAATCATGAAAGGTTTCTATGTTTTAGTAGTACTCTAACAAAATATTAAATAACATTTGCACAATGTCTTGCTTAACTTTCACTTATTTAATCAAACAACATTCCTTAAAGTCGGGCAATTAATCAAATCAACTTCATTCGTTAGGAGTTTGACCTGAAATGCCAGCGGCCCTTTCAACCACCTTTGCTCTTCCCATTCCTTCCTCTTTTAAGGAGCCGCTTTCTGGACTAATGACTGGCGCAAATCGCTTTGCCAGTGCTCCGAATGCCTACCGCTCTACAAGGAGCTTGGCGTGGAGTTTCTGCTGGACACCGAGGACTCGGCCAAGACGTACGAGGAGCGCGGCATGAAGCGTGCGGAAGAAAATTCCAGCTATGAGCAGGGCATCCGGGCTTTGGCCTCCATTGACCGGACACAGCAAATCGATGCGATTACCGAATACAATCGTATGAAGGACAAGCTAAAGGAGTATTTGCAGTCCTTCGCCGAAAGCAAGAAGGTGGTGACCGAGGAGGATATCAATCGCTTCTTTGCCGGCATGCGTAACGAGAATAATGATAAGCTGGGTCAACCATACTTTTGTCGCTGAAATCGGTCATCGGGGGTCGGGTTAGAAGATTTTCCTCACCTTTTCAAATTGAGTAATTCTATGAAGACAAATTATAAGTATTGAGCCAAAAGAAATCATTCTAAACAAAATTATAGCATAGCATAGGTGAGGAAAGTCATACAAATTTAAAGTTTAAAATTTCAGCATGTCGATTATTTAAAATCTTTGGTTATAACCACACATTCCCTCCTCATCACAGAGCACACATAAATCCATGTAAAATCTTAAGTCGTACTTTATTATAAATCATTATAATTACGGAATTCACTCCATTTACATAACAAAGAAAAGTCGTAACAAGGCATCGGGGCAATGAGATTCGCATGACCCTCTTCTATACGCTATCTAGCCAAAATATCTATGTACAATGTATGGCAAAATAGAGTTATGTAAAGTGTGGTTCTTGGCTGAAGGGAAATGAAAACCTGTCCTTGAGACCCTTTTTTTTACATAACTCTAATTTGGTTAATCTTGTGGTATATTTATGAATATATAAATGTATACGCGTACATTTAGTAATTTGCAAAATTGTTGTTCATTTGGGCGGCTCCACCGATTGTTCCTCCTGCCAGTCCTAAGCTGCTGAGAGTTTCGTCAATTCCTTGGATTAACTCGTTGGTGTCAATGGTTCCGAGATCCATTAATGTGCTGGACAGGATAAGATCGCTGAATGATTGCTGCTGGCCATCTGTCGGTTGATGTTGATGCTGCTGTTGCTGCTGTTGCTGCGGGTACTGGATCTGTTCTGGCTGGGATTGTGGAATATATTGATGCTGCTCTGGCTGCTGTGGAGGCAGGTACTGCTGTGGCTGCTGGAATACCTGCTTCATGTCCTGAGTCGGTGAGTTCATGGCATTCAATTTTAGGCTTACAAAGCCATTGTTATTATTATTGTTATTCATCATCATGTTACTGTTGTTATTATTATTGTTTATTGGCGTCATGGTGCCACCATTAAAACGTGACGGACTGTTGCCAGGATTTGTTGGAAAGTTTGAGGCATCGGGAAGATATAGATGATTAGTGGTCTGTCCGATTTGCATGGGTGGAATGCTGTCCACGGTGCTGTTAGAACGTGGCGATGGGAAATTGTAGTCCACCGAGGACAGTGGCTGCTCCGGCTGTCCACATCCATGAAAGCCTGCTCCACCTTGATCTCGTGCATAAAGTGGGGACTTCCACCGCCGGGATACATTATGGACATGCCCGGCGATAGCTGTGTCTGCGTCTGTGGCGCTGTTGTGGTCGCCATTTGTGGCGGTTGGACTGCGGTAAATGGGCCTAAAAAAAACAAACAACCTCGTTAGAGCCATATGTTTCCAATGACAACGAAAACGTAAACGAAAGGTTAGTGAACGAAAGGTTATAGACCACAAAAAAAAGGATATACATAGCATTTACATAATTGCGGCGAAACTGAGGTGAAACTAAAGCAATTTGGCAAAAACTCAAAAAGGACAACGGAAACCACAACATCAACTTTGTCGCTGTAGGCAGGCAATATCAACTTACTCTCATTTGATGTCCAACTTTGGTGGCTTGGGGGGAAACTAGACAAAATACAGAGGGGAAAGGAGTCCTCGGTGGTCCGAGGCTTGAAATATCCTTGCATTCAAATTAAGTTCATTTTTAAGTTTTGCTTTGAAAGTGGAAAGTTGCAAAATTCAAATTAATTTAAATTGATGGTGGGAGTAGCAGAAATTTTAAAAAATATTGATACTATAATAGATAATAGGCACTAAAATCAATATGTAAATTAATATTTTAACTATGTATATGTGGGGTAAATGTATCGGACCAAGGAATTAAACAGAGGCTATGGGATAATCCTTAACAGTTTCGATATTTTAAAATGAACTACAATATTTTAATAATTTTTGTAATAATACTATCTAAGCAGTAAATCTAAAAACTTGTTTGTTTCAACACAGCAAGAATATTTTAACACATTTTCACAAATCAAAATGAAAAATGCTAAATTTTTCCAAAAATAATAACTTTTAAAAGTGAAAAATTTCTCTAGTAAACTTCAATGATTTTTATTGAAAATTCCTTTATTCATAATTTTTTCAATACATCAAGAATGTGTAGAACACTAAAACTTTCAATTCGAAACCTCGCTCAACAAACTGTTCCCTAAAAAAGCCATCATAGGCTATATCTTCTATCCGACTTTCAACAATTCCTGGAGGGGTTGGACAACATTTGCACCCCATTGGTCCACAAGGTATTATAAACTCCGGTTCTATATGTGTTTGCAAATATATATATATAGTGAATCAATTCTCGCTACTTCTTAATGTTAATTGAAAAATGAATTTATGTGTATATGTAAGGAAGGGGATGTGTGTATATGGTTTTCTAGGAACTACTTAAAACCGGAACCCAATCCCAGCACCAGTAATAAATGCAGAATATGCTCAAGAACTTACTGGACGTTTTCACGTGCTTGGTGGATAGAAATCGGTGGTCATGAGACCGCGTTTAAGGCTTTCAACCGCTTTGCGGGTCTCCGAACGATTGTGCTGGGTGAGGGTTTCTAAAAAGACATTCGGAGGAGGTTCATGTGATTAGAAACGAATTATTCTGGTTTTTTCGGTGAGATATTTCTCAGGTATTTCTAAGCTAGAAATTAATTTGTGCATTATATTTTTGTTTGGTAATTAATACTGCAAGAGAGAAAAGACGACTAGAAAAGATATAGTTTGTATAGTTGTGTGCCTTTTTTTGTGTGTGTAATAAACTAGATAGTGCTGGGGGGTCTGATTTTTGGTGGATTAGGAAATATTCCGAATTAAACTTTAAATGCAGCTTAAAAAGAGCTTAAACCCTTTAAAAAGTTAAATTTTGTAGCTACATTTAATAGTTTTTATTTATACTTCCTCTCCACAAATCAGTTACCCTTTCACCCCTTTAATTTTTCACTCCATTTCTACTGCAATCCATTGGCCTCCGCCAGCCGTCGAGCAATTTCATCTGCACTAAGGAAGTCAGTGGCTTCAGCTCCATCGCACCGCCACCTGCTCCTCCACCCTTCTCCACCCATTTCACCGCCGAAAGGTGGGCTCCGGACTCTTGCTGGTGTACAGCGGCAAAGTGCTCAGCCTCGGAGAGATCCACACTGGGATCCAGTACCACACCATAGGCACCTTCGCACAAATTCCTTATGCTCTGACGATCGGCAATGGCCACCAGTTCCATATTACCATCACTGATGGGAATATCCGCCAATTGTAGGGGTGCTGAGGGTCTTCCGGTCTAGAGGTCGTCCATAGCTCAAGGTACTGGCATTCGAGTAGCTCTCCGGACGGAGCAAGCTGTTCTCGCTGTCGCCACCCTTCAGGGGAATATGAATCACATCCGCGTTCCAGATGTGCTGGCCTCTTGCCGGACACACTGCTCGAACTCCGACCCACTGGCTTTCCATTCGACCTTCGCTCTTGCCCAGAGGTTGCATGGATTTCGTGGAGCTGCGATTGGGATCGCCTAGGAGAAATGTGCCACACTTGCTCCCTACTGCCGGTGGGTGTGGTGGCTTTCGATCTGCCAGAGGATTGCTTACTAGGACTTGCACCCGGTGTCAAGGACTCTTCGTCCTCGGCCCTACTCTTGCGGCGGGAAAGAATCGAGAGAAGAATCCCTGGCGCTTCTTCGGGGACTCACTTGGTGTGGGCTGCCTTTTGGTGGGACTTTGGTCGGGAGTTCGCATTATGATAATGGGTGAGGGTGTGGTTCTGGCGGAGCTAAGGCTACCATTTCGGGAGCGGCTTATCGAGATGGAGTCACTGACAATGCTCAGATCCTGTGAGTTTCTCTGGGGCTTTGGTGGCACGGCGGCAATCTGTGCTCGGGATCTGGCGAAGGTGTACGCGGTGGCAGCGGCAGGGGAGGCGAATCTGGTGGCGTGGCTGGGGTCTGGGCGGCATTCACTTTAATCCTGGGTGCCGGTGGATTCGTAAGAACCACTAATTCAGCATCATCCAGAGAGCCAAATGGATTTGTGGGTGGATAGATCTGTATACCACCACCCTGCCTGCTCTCCTTGGGTGCAGCTATATCTATGGGATTGTTGAAAGCTATCTGAAGGCTTGTGTAAGTGGCGGTCTCATCGAAGTTCTCGTCCAGATCAACGGAGGCCTGGGCACTGGCTGTCACCGTTTCTGGCTCCTTGTCAGCCTCCGGTAGTTCCTTTACTGCAGGATTTTCAAGGGTATCCCTGCGGGATCCGTTGGTCAGATGGGCTTCCTCCTCCAGCTGATTCGTTATGGTCGTATTGGCCGTCAGGCTGCTGACATTGGTGAAGGCTGTCTGAGCGGTGCTATTCGACAGGGATTGGGTGTCCCCATTCTCCACGGTCAGGCTATCCGTTCGCTCAAATTCGCTGCTCTTCATCCATTCGGTGATCTTGTCCACATTGGTCAGCGGACGTGACTGCAGCTGTGGATGCTGCAGTATCTCCTCCATGGGCGTAGAGGTCTGAGTGCAATCGTCCGCCAATTGGGGCAGTAACTGCGGCACCTCCAGTTCGATCTCCATGTCAGGTTCGTTATCGTTATCCGTATACTCGGTGACGGTTCCACCATCCATTTCGGGGACTCTCCTCGCTGTTGCATCTGCAGTTTCTTTACCATTATCTCGAACTCATTGAGCGTTCCCGAACTCTGCTGATCATCCGATGACACCGTGTTGTTCTCCTCCTCAAGATCCAACGGTGGACACGAGTACTTTGTGGCGGATTCACTGTCAAGGGAGAGGATCTGCTGGAACACATCCAGCTCCTGGCGACGCTTCAGCTTTCGCTGGAGCCTGGCAAAGGTTACCGTACCTGGATTCGGGTAGTACTCGAACTTCAGCGGGGCACTCGTCGCTCCATCCGAGGGTCGCACTAGTTTTAGTTCCACCTGCAATGGAACAAGGTCTTTATGATCCTATCCTATCCTATTAAAGTGTTTTCCACTCACATGTACACTCTGTGTAATCTCTGGGTTTCTGTAGCGCGGCGTCTTGAAGGCAATGGCCATTTGTTTGAAGACATCCGTTGGCAGGAACTCTGCATTGGCATGCCAGGTCTCTCGTCCATCTCCATCCGTCTCATAGAATCGCACCTCGATGTCATCCTT